TTTTTTTTTTGTTTAGCTTACTAGACTTCTGAAATGGAATAGATGTTAGAGTAACATCTTCATTTTCTTTAGAAATTACATATGGTTTTATGAATCTAACAAATAAATTCATTAAAAGTTCAATAAGTTTTCTTGTCAATTTATGTAAATAAAGAGCTTGTTGCTGCACATTATCATTTATTGTTATAAACAATGGCAAAGTATTTTTCTAAAATAATAAGTACAATTTGGTGGTAGGTGAGCGTAACATTTTTTTTAATGTTTTGCAATCTCTTTCCTTCATTCTCACTGTTCGTTGATCACCAAAAAGATTAATCAGAGCATCCCACTGTTCTAAAATCCTTGTCATAGATTCTAAAAGAGACAACCATGTCACACTGTAATATTTCAAAATTTTATGAGATTTTGCATTTTGTTGCAAAATTTGTTGAGCAACTTTGAAGCTATGCTTCCATTTTGAACTTTTTTCCAAATAAAAATATATATCTATTAACAACATTTTGATTTCTGAACCAATTAATTTTTCAGTACCTTTTTTTTCCAGCTATATGCACGGACGACCTCGGTTGATTATATTTGATTGATGCAGTTTGATAAACGATGCTACACCTTTAAATTTTCCCATCATATTACTAGCCTTATCTGAATAAAATGATAAGCAATTTTTCCATTCTAAACCTTTGCTTTTAATGTTTTCATTTATACAATTGAAAATACCTTCTCGGGTATTATTCGTGCATTTTAAAATAGAAATCAATAAAATAATTATCACTCTCCTTTCTTTCGGTATAATATGTTATAATCGAAAGGTACAGTTTGTTATCATTACTTCCATCAGTACATAGAAAAAATGATGTTTTGCACACTAATTTGATAACATCAGCAATAGCACTATCTGCAAGCATTTTCACAATAGCAGCAGTTTTGGTATGGCTACAAGAAATTTTTTTGCTATGGCAGAATCTGGAAGCATTGCTTTGAAAAGCTGTTTGAAATGATCCGAAACTGAAATCGGTAGCTTTTATAGCATCTGTTTCATCGTCTTTTAGGAAGAGATTTGTTATTTCTCTAGATTTTACAGTGCTAAGTTCTTTATACTTTTGAGGGAAAAAAAATGCCATTTACAGTCATCTTTTTCACCATGTGCAACTGAGGAGTCTTTGTTGCACACACTGCAATGTGTGTGATTCAGAGAAATTTCAGATGCTTTAGTACATGGAAAGTCAGAAGAATATGAATCTTTAAATTTCTGCTTTGATAATTTTAGCTTCTTCGTTCAAGGCTACATAATTAACAAAAAACTTCCAGCTGAATTACAGTTCACAAGACATACACACATTACGCTTTTGCCATAATCTCAACAATGAAGTCGAGGCAGGCTAAGCAAGCCATATACAGCAGCAACGAACCTTGGAGTGCAGAGGCAAGTGATTAATGGTTGAAGTTACTGATCTACGATTGGCTATTCTTCAAAACCAGCAACACACTCAACACGTGATATATGATGACACGAGTGTTCAGCCAATCATCGGATGAATTAGTTAGTTCCGTTTTGTGTGTTGGTTCTCCTACCCTGTTTCTGTAAAATCCATAGTTGTTCATGATTTTCTGAAGCTACAGAGAATCTGTAATAGTTGGAGTCTATTTGCACTAAAACGTGAATTAAAAAATTAGTTTTGAGTTCCTTCCAAATGGTGTCGCTGTACAATGTGAAATTCTGCTGGTTTTCAAGATTTCTAGATTGGCAGCTATGCCAATTTTTGAGAGGTGGCAGTTAAGCTGTTCTCCCAAGTGATTGTTAAGTAAAGGTAAATTTCAGTTTGAATATGTTTCATTTATACAGAATCCCAACTGCACTGATCACCTACTGTGCAGAAAATACTGAACTCAGCTTGTTTACAGCCAGCCACCATATTTCATGATAATGATGATAGCCACGAATTTGAAGAGTTTTCAGGTACAAGTAAAAAGTGAAACTTTCCAATTATGTGAAGAAATGATAAATGAAAATACTACTGAAGTCTTCTATTGCAACAATGCCCCAGTCATCAACCAATTAACAGTAAAATCTATGGTAAGCTGACATGGTAGTTTCAAGCTTCATTTTAATTTTATGAGATGGTTCTTCAAATGCAATCTTCCTTTGTGTAGCATGCCTCCCCCCTTTTTTTTAAGAAATAGGAGAGCCAGTTGTCATCTCTAGACAAATCCCAAATTGTAAAAATCTATTTCAACAAATAATAAACTATGTGTTTATGTACGCACTAATGTACACTATTCGAATCACGAATGTCGCTGCCTACGCATCTAACTATCTAACGACGTATCTAAATGCCACATCTAAATTTCTGCAAGCGGTGGTTCAGCTATAATTCTATGATCAAATACTCAATCTAGCTTTAACGAATTTATTAAAATACTAAAATTAATCTAATCTAGAATCGAATCTAATGTTACATCTCAGGAGCAGCGTTCTAGCTGCGTCATACAAATCTAAAGTCAAGTTCTCACTGTTGCCATTCTGAGGCAGAGAAAAGTTTGTTTCTAATCAAACCGGAACATCGGCATAGTGAAAGTTTCTAGTCAAACCGAAACACTATGATTAAATGAGAAACAGGGTTGCATCAGGAAAGAAGCCAAACTAAACTAGTGATGCTGGTGCTGAGGAAAGAAAATCAAACTGGTAATGTTAGCATCCAAGGTCAAAATCTCTGTGTACTTTTTTTATTATGCCAAATAATAATAAAAAAAAAAGTATGACTAGCCTTTGACAGAAAAGAATCCTGAAATTTTTTGATTGATGGAATGTGTGAAAAAATGCTTTATGAATATGATATCACTGAAGTCTTTGTTGTGATGAAAATGTCCCAATCAGCTACTGGTTGGCAAAACTGCTAGTACAGTTTTATATCCAGAAAATATTAATGCTGATAGTGAAGAAAATGATAAACAGGTTGCTGACACTGGAAAGATTTTGATTGATTACTTAATAGAAATTCTCAATGTGGCAATTGCTGGCTTGAAGAATGAAATTTTGCAACTGAACAAGAAATAATTACTCTCTCAAATTAAATAGAAAAAACAACTTATGACGGAAAAAATATTTAATGAAATGAACAATGTTAATATTGAGCTTTTGTGTGTGCGCATGTGCATAAACTTTGGTTCCCTTAAAACCACAAATGCTTCATTATTTCATATACAAGCTTTTATATTTTTAATTTTATAATTCTGCATGTAGTCTCGCTAGATATAAATTGATGATTTAAATTCCAGAATGTTGAAGTACCAATGATTCCAGATCTCATATTTGCACTCTAGTAATTGGACTTTCTTCTTTATGGAAACAGCATAAAAAATTAGATTTTTACATTTATAGAACTCTTTCACGTATTTTCAAAATACTTTTTACAGAATTCTCTTATTCAAAGAAACTAAATATACTTCACAATTGGAAAATATTTCCAGGATCAACATTGAAGGAACTTGAAAGTTATAGCTCAAAAGATAAAATGTTTAGCTAATAGAGTTTAGCATTTATGTTTCTTATATAAATTCATGTAAAAAATTTAAGAAAAGAAATACTTTGTAGTGAGGTTATTTGAAATACAACACGTGAAAAGGGAAAATTGTTTTTATACAGCTATTTAGTGCAAAGAATTTTCATCAAACCTAAAAAATTCATAACAAAAACAGACAGTTCTTTTTTACAGGACTTCTTTAAAACCTTGTTCTTAAAATGAACTAACAAAATAAAATGCATATTAAAATGATTGGTAGATATTTTATTCTCAACAAAAGTACTTAAGTATAATTTGCAAGTGCTGAAAATATTTTTAAATATGTATAAAAAGTGAAATGTTAAAATACATTATTTCAATCACTTAATTGCTAGAATTAGGAATTAAAATTAACCAGCAATACAGAAACAATTTGAACTTATTTAATGTAGAACATCCAAAATAACTAATATTTAATCAATTAATTTCATTATTATTTTTGTGAAAATTATGTATGGGATCTTTTTTCTTTTGTGTATAATATTTTGTAATAACAACTTTTTTGTTTTTAATATCATACAGTGAATGCTCATTATTGTATGAAATTATATTTTCATGCTGAAAATGAACAGTATTAAAAATACACTCTAGACTAATTTTTCATATTTTAATAAGTAACTCAAAGTTTAAAATTTTATAAAGTTTAAATTATGATTTAATATTACATTTATGTATTCAATTCTCTTAATAAAATAGCATATTGATATGTATAGATTGTATTATAAATAGGTGAAATTCAAAATAATGACACACAATCATGTAACAAGAACCTGCATTTTAAAATATGACAGTTTGTAATTTCTTAATACTTGACAGAATAATTACTTTATTAGGTGCTAAAATTTTATTTATTAGAACTACAAATATTAGTGTGATGATCAAAATTATCTAGATCCATTTTTTGATTTTTGAGTAATTATTTCGCAACAATTTCTTCAAAATTTTGAAATATGTCTGTTGAGTGTGCTAAAAGGGGGGGGGAATAGAGTAATTGCTACATATAAAATCTGAAAAGTACCGAGAAAAAGTATTTAATTTATTATTAAACAGATGTACGTTTCTTTAGCCTACATATGTATTTAACAAGTTAATTCCAGTTTTGTTAATGCTAGAAAATGATTATAAAATTCCATAAAATATATATTGCTGTCTTTCAAAATAATTCACTATTAGAAAATTCATAAAGTTTGTTTAGTTATGAATTGAAAATTAATAATTTTTTTCAGTGTTTCAATATCAATGGGAAACTGGTTCTTCATTATTCTACCAGTCCAGCATGGGGTTGAGATGTATCACGACATTTGTGGGCCCTTTTGAAGTTTTAAAAAGAATTTTCTTTTCATAAAAGTTTTCTTTTGAGTTGTTTATACTTATAAATTAATGATAATTGTAGCTTTATCTTTGTAAATAAATCTCTACAATTGTTACTAATTTCAGATGCAGAATTCAAATATTTACATTTTATTTTATACTAATTAAAATATTACAGGAAGATACATTTTCATTTTAGAACAAGAGGGTTGGATACCCTAAATATAGCTGGTAATAAATTTGACAGGCTTGAAAATAATTCTTCTGAAATTCCCTAAAATAACAAAAAAGTATATAAATATGTGATTTGGTAAATGAATTAAAGTCCATAAAATGTCATTTCCAAACATAAATAAGAATGATTTGTAATACACTTGGTAAGAATACATAAACATAAGTCACTTTGTATAATTTAAAATGTTATGCTTCTCCCTGAATGAAAAACAAATAGGTTAATCAGGAAGATAATTTGGTTGGATGAATTTGATTTATTATATGTTGCATACAGATGTAAGGAACCAGCAACTGATTCAATCCAGTAATATAATGAACCGGCAGTTGACTGACATAATCGAAATCCCATTGATTCCAAAAAATTCATATATATATAATCGATAATTGTTTACTGAAACAAAATAAAATCATATAGTATGAAAAAAATCATAAAATAAAGAAAATATATACTAATATTATGATGCAAGAAGCATTGATTGAAGGAAGATATTCAAGAACAAGTCTTATTCCAAACACTATTAATTTAAAAGTCATCTGAGGGTAATACCCCAAAATAAAATAATTTATTAAACCAACATTATTAACCCTTTTCTCTTCTTAGCTAGCAGAAATAGTTTTAGGCAAGCCAATAATTTGCTGTCAAAAACAAAAAATAAGTTGAATATTTTTGAATGAGATAAAAATATATAAAAATTAAGTTAAGCAATAATATGCCAAGTGTTAAAAAAAACTCCCATCAGTACATCAAGCACAGCCATCATTAATTAAAACCAAACTTTGTTATTCGAATTTGATTTTGTTTTTGAAAAATTGTTTATATTTCTAAAATTAGAAATAACACAAAAAATAATAAATCTAACAAACCATTCTTTTTCATAAATGTTTGTTAAGATTCTTAGTCTAATTGTTATCTACATCATTTATGTGCAATTATTTGTAGTATTATTATGTTATATGCTGTATACTGTAAAGAAAAATGTCGGGTTTAACGAAGGAGACCATTCTTTTAAAACGAGTCCATATAAAGAAAAGGTTAGAAATTTCTAGTCAGAATGATGGTGGACCTGTTGTGCTGTGGAATGTTTTCAGCGACAAGAACTGGCACCCCTGATAAACTATAGGCATTGCTAACCAGAGAACTTTATAGTACTCTTATATAATCATGCATTAATTCAAACAAATCCCATGATCTGTGAGTGAGCATTTTTTGGTTTGACTTTATAAGTGATCTTCTTCTCTAGATGGATTTGAATCTCACAGATCATCTGTAAAATGCACTTTAAATTATTTTTCATGTTATAATTCTACAAATGGTAAATAGGAAATCATGGACCACTGTGTTCAAGAGATGTAAAGTTATAATACACTGCTCGTTAATATTAAATTAAAAAACTCACTGATTAATATTTTCAACTTATGTCCAGTAGTGTAATTATTTATGCTAATATCTACAACTGAATACAAAATTTATTTCTGTGCATAAGTTAGTGTGTGAAATATTCAAATTAGGCAAATGACAACACGTTGCACTATGGGCATATGTTGGAATCGAGTATGTTATGTTGTTTACAACCACTGTGGTTCTAAAAGCGATCAGTATTCATTAATTACGATTCATTTAAGTAAAGCTGTCATTTAAGTGAAAGGAAACATGGTGGTTAATTTGGTAAACTCTAGAGCAGTGTTTCCCAACATGGAGCTATTCGATTGTTAAGGAGGACAATTAAAAAATGGGCTCATCCAGAGTTTTAAGAGGACAAGGGAAGTTCAAATTTATAAATCTTCTTCAAGAAGTTGAAATTTCATTTTTTTTAGATTTCCAAAACTAAAGAATAATATAAGTGATGTATATGTAAAAAGGTGTTTAAATTGTGGTGCATTTTAAATATTTTATAAATAATTTTTGCTATAGACAGGGGCATTTAAATGCTTTGATATTTTTTCCTAAAACCTCTTATTCAAGTTTCTTTCGTGAACATTGAAATTTTTAAATTTTTAAAATTATGAATATGCAATGGGAAGCATAGGAATTTTAGAGAGGATTAGCATAGCACAGAAAAGATTGAGAAACACTGTTCTAGAAGGAAACAAACAGAAATGCTTCAAGATATAAATATATATGTGATACTTCATGTGATACTTTGAGGGATTTGAATATTCATATCCCTCAAAGTATGACATGAAGAACTTAAAATCACCTTTTAAGTTGTGATTTAGTTAGTAGACAGCCTGATCAAAAGTGGTAAAAAGTAACTGCATTTTTTCTCATTGTGTGCTAAAAAAAAACTGTGAAACGACTACAAGAAAGTTGGTTTTAAACCATCACACAAGAACTTAAATTGGCATTCTATTGGATTCATGTGATTGGACTGCATGCAAGAAAACCAATAGTTGAATAAGCACTCACTTCATCTTTCAAAGGGGCCCATTTTAAGTAATGTCATTTTATGTTCAGTCAAGCAAAGAAATATGAGAACATTTATTAACGAGTTTAGATGTAGCCTGATTTTAGATGTATTTTACCTGGAGCGAAGAACACACAATTCGCTTTTCTTTGTTCATGAAAGATTGCATTTCCATGGAAGCAATTCCATTGTTTGGGTGACATTACCAAGAATAGCTACACCAAGCTGTATATTTTTGATGAAATCTTTGTTATCTGCCACAGATGTGGACGAGATCTTGGAACTCCATGTTAGGCTGTTTAGGAGAGCTCTTGGCCAATGGTCGTCTGCATCCAACATCTTTGTTATCAGAATATTTGGAAACAAAAAATAACACTCAAATAGATTGACCAGCTTACTCTCCAGACTTAAACCTAACTGAGGTTGTGCAAGGTCTTTGGCCACCAAAGTGCATTATGCTAAATGCCTCCTCGTAACACACCTTAGGGAACTAAAAAATGCACTAAGCAGCATGTAAAAACAGCATGTAAGTTCATAAGACTTTATCAAAGTTTGGTAAATTCTCTGAAATCATGATGTGATGTTTGCATTTCTATCAGAAATAACCATACACAGCAAAACAGGAAAGAAAAATTTCCTATCATCTTTAAATTTTCATAAGTTTGGCTTTAAATTCATTATTTTGAGATTGACTAACAGGCAAACATGCTAATTTATATTAACTAATGCTTTTGTACAGTTTGTTTTTAATCATTTTTCAGTGAGTAATAGTTTTTATATTGTCAGTATCCATTAATTCTAATGCAGTGTACATATCTTGTATCACAAAGATCTCATGCAGTGCAAAGATGTGATTATGCAATTTAAAGAAGAATATATGTATGCACTTTAGTTCTTTTGGATTATGCATTTATGATTGTGAACTATAATACGTAAACAGAACATCTAGATCAGTCATGTATAAAAAATTAGCTGAGTTGTTATCAGGTTAAAAATAATAGAGAACATTGAAAACAAACTTTATTATTCTTGCAAAAAGAGGCATATTTCATTTTCCTTTTAATAATAATTTATAAAATTTCTGTTGGAAAACATTCCTTTCTTATCATTTCAGAATTACTGTCTGAATCCCTGCTTCAGCTTGTTTTAAGATAATTATTTCAATTACTTGCATTCTATATACTCTTCATCCTAAACTTAATGTATGTAAATATGTATTTAGGTTCAATGATTGCATGCAGACTACTTGAGATACATCAGGGGTGTTTGTGCTCCGGGGAAACCCCGGAATTCTGGGGATTTTGAACTTCGATACCTGGAAACTCCGGGGATCGTCGTTCAAAAGGAAGTAGGAATAATAATGAATTATTTATTTTGATCTGGGTAATTTTGTTTGCTTTGAAAGCAGAAAATGCAAGGTCAGTGTGTGTGGTAAAAACTTTTCCTTTCTTTCTCCAAAGGCAGTGATAATGCGTGAAAAGGGGGAAAAAACTTCATTTTTGTTCTTTCCTTATTACGAGTTATGACTCATTCCCCCGGTTCTCAGACATTCTCTTCTGGATTCTTTTCGGCAAGTAGGTGTGGCAGAAAAAAAAAGGGAAAGACTTCGTTCGACCAGATGTGTAATCACGTGACTCTGGGTTCAAAGGTCTTATCTCTCCTGGCATGTCGCCAATAAGTAGAGAAGGAGGATTTTTCGCCGTATTAGCTATTTGTCATTGATCGCTTCTCAACTTTTTTTCTCCGCTGCATAAAATTTTCGTTTCATTTATTGATGCACGTGTAAATTTTTCGTTTCGTTTATTGAAATATTTTTTTTATTTATGTATGCAAGAGAATTTCGCTATGAAATTTCTCGATATAAATAGTGATATTATACAATTAGAAGGTGTCCGGAATGCATTTAGGTGGAATTGGATTGAACAGAGAGATGGTGATGGGGATACCATCGGCACATGGTGCAAGAAAATAAATGTTGATGGACAAGCATATTGTGTTTTTTGTAACTCACTGCCGAAGTATGGTGAGGAAGGATTCAAGGCTTTCACAAATCATTCTAAAACTGTGACGCACATAAAATATTCAAAGTGCATTAGACATTCAATGACTTTAAGTAATTATGCTAATTCAAAAAATACTGATGACTTACTGGAGACTGATGCTAGGCCATTGGATATAGTGACAAGAAAAGCACGCTAAGAGGTATTAATAACTTCGTTTATCGCCGAGAATTCTCTTTCTTTCAATGTAGCTCCCAATTTAATTGAACTCTGCAAACAGTTGAGCCGCGATCAGACGGCACTAAACTCGTTGGAAATGTCCAGGACTATTGCATGTTATAAGATGAAATATGGGCTTGCAAAAACTATTAAGGAAAATATCATTAAATCTTTAAAGGAGATTCCATTTTCTCTAAATTTGGATGAAAGTACTAGCAATGCTCAAGAAAGTATACTGGCAATATTGGTGCAGTTATGACAACAATCAAAATGAAGTTGTAGTTCATCATTTTGCATCTCTAAAGATGGAATCTTGCAATTCAGAAGCTGTTTTTAAAGCAGTTGTTAATACTATTGAAGATAATAATATTCCATGGGCAAACTTAATTAGTGTATTAATGGACTCAGGTAACACCATGCATGGAAAAAAAAAGGGTGTTGAAATCAGACTACGATCAAACAATGCACCCCACTTATTAGATATTGATGGTGACACATGTCACACAGCTAATAACTTTGCAAAAAAATTTGCTTCATGTTTTGATAGATACTTAGAAGATTTGTTTGATGACATCTATTTTGATATGAAAAGCTGCAGTAAAAGAGAAAAATTTTTCAAAATCTGTGAATCCTTTGCCATTAAAAAACTCAAGCCCTTGAAGAGACCAGACTATAGGTGGGTGTACATTTTATGTGTTTTAGAAAGAATCAAAGATCTGTGGGATGCTCTTATTGCATTTTATTTTCACTACTTGGATAAAAACTGATAAGGGGGATTATTTTTCATATGTTGAAACAGTATACAATAAAAGAAATATTTCTGCAGCTCAGAAAAAAATTGTTGAAGGGGTGTATTCTTGCTTGCATTCCCAACAACTCACAAAGGATGCTTTAGCTCGGAAAAAAAGAATACTAAATGGGTTATTTGTTATGCAAAACAAAACTTTATTGCATATGGCATCATTATATTCAGCAGTATTACCAGAGTTCAACACATATATTAAATTATTTGAAACAAAAAAACCAATGCTTCATTTAATACATTCCAGTATTTATAAATTGATGGCAAAATTTTTCTCTTTTTTTATGAAGCCAGAAAATATAGAGTATATAGAGTGCACATCTTATAATGATTTATTAAAGGTTGATGTCACAAATCCAGAATTCCATCTACCTAGCAAAGTAATATTTACTGGTGCAGAAGCTTCCACTCTCCTGAAGAAATTATCAAAAAATCATCCAATAGCAAAAGAATTCCAAATTTCTCTGATGAAAGCTTATCCTAATACAGCACAGCATATGAAACAGAAATTACCCCTTAAAAATTCATAAATCTAAATTAATTAGTTTTACAGCATTAGATCCAGAGCTAAGAGGTAAAAACCGTACAATATTAGCTTTTGAAAAATTATCATCTTTTATGTCCCATATTTTTAGTGATAATGAAAAGTCAAAAGTAGAAGCTGAAATAAGGGTTATACCAGAGTGATATTGATATCACCAAAGAAATGCTCTACACATCTGATGAAAGTGGAAATCAAGTCAAGTGTACAATTGATAAATATTGGTCTAAAGTTTTTAATTTAAAAGATGATTTTCACAAATGATTATAAGTATCCTACATTGGCTAAATTGGTCAAAGCCTGCCTTAGCTGCTTCCATGGCCCATTAGTGGAAAGTGCATTCAACTTAATGGATACACTTGTCACTGACTATAGAACCTCTCTTAAGATTGATTCCCTAGATGCAATGCAGACTATTAAATATGATTTAATGGCTTCTAAAGAAACCTCATGTGAAAAATATGGCTAAAAAAATCCAATGACTGATCCAATTCACAAAGATCTCTTACTGAATATGAACAGAATTTGGAAAACATATCAAGAGGACTTAAAAACATGTATTTGAGATTAGTCACCTATAAAAGTCCGGAAAACCTTCTACATTAGCAGAAAAGCAAACTGCTTCTACCTCTTCATGTGCAGTTCTCGAGGAAATTTCTTCAACTGTAAATGAGGAAAATAAAAGTCAACCTTCCTGCAATTATGAAGTTCACCACAAAAGAAAGACAAGCCCCACAAACATCAGAAAATAAAAAAGCAGCAGAAATTAGATAATTTTTTTAAAGAATTAATTCAGGTAATTTAAAATATTTATATAAAATGTAGTAGTTTATATGTTTGAAAATTTATGGTTATTAATTTTGCAAAAAAAGTAATTCATTGAACTTTTATAATTAGGTCATTCAATACTTCATAATTGTAATTTTTCATTTCTCTCCCCCCCTTCTTGAAACTCCAAAATGTCGGTAGTAAGTCCGTAAAAGTTTCAGGAGATTTTTTGGGGTCCCACAAACACCCCTGATACATAGAGAGACAAATGTGTATTATAATAATGTAAAACTTGCTGTAACATTACCTTTGGCACTAAAAACTGAACTGTTCTCGTCTCATCTCCAACTAATGAGGCCATTTCAATCATAAATCCTTTCACACATTTGAAAATTAGTTCTGCTCTCTTTAGGCACCACTGCATTGTCATTTCCTATACAAGATAAAATCACTAAGTTAATAAACAGCTACAAAAATTAGCATTTAATGGGCATAATGAAGATCCTATTCATTACAAAAAAATTTATTGATATTGTAAAACTGAATTGTTTGTTGATAAAGCTGTGCCATTTAATAAGGAAGAAATCACAAAATAAATATACCTGGGAAAATGCAAAAAAATTTTAAAATATTTTTTTTAATGTTTTTTTTTTAACTGAATGAACTTTTTATGGAAACAAATTGCAATATAAAAAAGTAAAACAGAATCCCTCCCCCCCAAAAAAGACTACAAAACTTGCTCGGAAGATATAATGTTATGTTATATATAAGACCATTTGCAAAATTTAAAAGATTTTTGAGAAACACTGAAAATTTGAATATACCATCCTGATTCATTAGAATGCTGAACTGCAATATACTTGATCTTGATATAATGATACAAGAAGTTTGTATTGAAAAAAATGTTCAAGCACGAGTCTTGCTCAAAACACAAAAATATGCAATGTTTTGGAATTTAAAAGTTATCCAACAGAAATATCCCCAAATAAAAGTTATTAGATCAACATTACTGACTTTTCCCTCTTCTTGCTCAGTAAAAGAGGGCTTTAATCAAGTCAATAATTTATTAAGTAAAACAAGAAACAGGTAGAATATTTTTGAATGAAGTGATTTAATTTAAGCAATTCTATGCCAAATATTATTAAAAAATTGCATCAATAGATCAAGTACTTCTGTATGATCAGCCATCATACGAACTGAGATCAAATTTTTACACTATTAGAATATAATTATTTTTTTAAAAATTGTTTATATTTGTAAAATTAAAATATAAACTAGTAAACTTTATTTTTCTACAACTTTGGTTCAAAATGTAGTCTAATTGTTATCTTAAAGTTATTTATGTACAATTTGTAGAATTATGTTGTATACTGTATATTACAGAGAAAAATGCAAGGAATCCCTGGTCTAGATGAATATAAAAGAAGTAGAAAATATACACTTAGCAAATCTTTTACTTGTATCTACTTTTGGTCCTTGTTGGTTTTAGTGGCAAGCAATCACTAGAGAAAATTTTCATCAAATTTAGATGCTACACTCACTTCTGGGGGGGGGGGGAAACAGCACTTTGAAATGATAGAATTTTAATGGAAATATATATATAAACCTATCTGGTTCTTGTTGGATTTACCAGCTGCCAACTTTTTACATTGATATAGCTTCTACAACAGTATATAGCTACTTTTATGCCTGTTTTTGCTAATTTGAATAAATGGCAAAATGTCCCTTTATTGGAAAAATTCAGTAGTTTTCTTTTCATTTGATAGCATATAAAAATTATAATCATTTTGAATCCCTCCCAAAAAATTATCAATGACAAAAACAACCATATGGTTCTTATTATTTGGTTCTGGGTTTGCTGTATCATTTAGCGTTAAACCAGTAAAACCGACAAGTGCCCTATTATTTTAATTATAACGGAAGAAAGAAATATTTCAGCTTATATGATTTTATTGTTACAGAAATGCAAAATTTACAATTAATGTGAAAATAAAGAGAGATCTTTCATTTGAAATATTCATTTTAATATTTCAAATGAAAGAACAAAATCTTTGAATACAAGATGATTATTACTGACAGTTATGGAAATATTCTATTCTGAAACTAATAATGACATATGATAAATTTTTTTAATCTAAGGTGAATCTCATACTTGAATCTAAGATGAAGTTATGTAAAGGTATTAATAAAATATCACATGTAAAGGTATCACTAATAAAATAATAAGTAAAAAAAAACATAATCTGATACTTTAAATATGTGTTTGTGGACAATCATAGCAGTCATGTGCATTAGCAAAATGCTGCACTTTGAAATGTTTAACTGAAGTAAAGGGTCTGAATACAGTGGCGTAGCTAGGGTGGGGCAAGGGGGGACACTTGTCCCCGAGCGCAGCATCCAGGGGGCGCCAAATTGATGCTATGAAATGTTTTCTTCTTTTGGTACACAGAAAGGGGCGCAAATTCTTCAGTTGTTCCCGGGCGCTGGAATCCTAGCTATGCCACTGTCTGAATATGACTTACTCTATTAAAAAGAATGGGAACAGAACATCAAATTACAGATAATGTATATCAGACAGACTGGCTCTCAATGAATAGTACACAAAATATTGCTTCGTACAGATTACAGAAAGCCTATTTCTAAATGCTACCTTCTTTTATTTTTAGTTTATTAATATCTGACTATGATTAAATGAAATTATTGTTCAAAATTAGAAAATGTATCTAATTAAAAATTAAAATAAAATTACTTTTAAAAAACTGGAAAGTGTAAAATTTAAAATTAGTCATAAAAGCAACTTCTGTTTGGTTTAGATTTTAAATAAAACTCTATTGGTTTTGAGGGTGATCAGACACAGCTTCATTTTCCTTACTGTGAAGAAGGGGGGGGACTGCAATAAAATAGTTCGAGGAGACAAACGAACAATGAAATATTTCTGAAAAATGCCAGTTGATAGTAAAAAATAAATTGTAACAGAAACATGAAGAATGATCCATTTATAAATTATCATGAGAGATGCACATATTTCAGTAGTATTGCTGTACTGAGAAAATTATACTATTAATTCTCTTCTTCAGGAGCAGAGACAACAAAAATGATTAAAACTGAAGAAAAGGAATTTGTGTCTGATTGCCTTCAAAACTGATAGTTTTATTTAAAATTTATGAAACTAAGGTTTCTTTCTTGCCTAATTTTAAATAATTGTACTAATTAAAATTATAGTGCTTCTAGCAGTGAATTTAATAGTTCAGTGCACCCTGTTATTTGCAAAATATCATAAGGTTTCTGCAATTTACAATTAAGAGTTCAGTAAAAAGCTACATATATATTAATTTATTACTAAATAGCTATACTTTTTAAATTTTCGTTTCTAATTGAACAAAATATCTTCTACGTGTTCTATTACATTTTTGTTTTTATTTAATCTCATTATGAAACTGAAATCTCTAAATATCTCATGTAATAGTGAAATTATTTTAAATTACAGAATTACATGAATGTTATAATGAATATCCATTTATTATTATGGAATATGCACATGACACTTTACAAAATACTTACTTCTGACATTTCATGCACAAGAAGTAAAGGTATTGTCACAGTGCATATATCATGTTCGTGAGCAACTCGCAGGATATTTCTAAGTCCTAAAATAGTTGGATGCCTCGAATTCACATCTGCCAATCTTAAGGTATCATCAACGACAAGATGAAATACAACATGCACTTCAGAAAGATTAGAATGTCGTGTTATGTAAAAATCTCCAGTTTTGAGAGTAACAGAACTTGTTCTCTAAAATAAATAAATAAATAATTTTAAAAAAAATAGTTAAAAGTGCACAGAAAACAGAAAGATATAAATTATGAGGTTTTTTTTTTATTAAAATTTGTTTATATTTACATTTTGAGCATAATCTGATGGTGATCCACCAGATCTTCCACTGCTGCTCTGGCTACTACTGTCACCCTGGGAAGAATTTGCAGCACGCCATTCAGCAACTTTTTTCCCTTCTTCTCGAATAATTTCTAATGCTTTGTCAATATCTTCAAAATGGAATTCTGTTGACATCTGACAAACAGCAGCAAATTCTGAACAGATGCACATGAAAATACATACTTAATTTTAAAAATGTCTAATAGTAATTTGAATGTAATAAATAATTATATAATGATGAAATCACAAAATAATAAGGAATGATTCATACCAAAATACCTATAAATAAACATTAAAAATTTAATTAAATTTTAATCTCTCACACATGTATAAATTCTTTTCTTGAAATCCTTTTTAAATTGCTGTTCAGAAAATATTACAGATCAGAATGCACTTTCAGAATGTGCTGTTATCTGTTCGAATGGGCAAAAATACATTTAAAATAATTAAAATTTTTAATAAGTTTTACACACAGTGCCAGATTTAAAAGAATGCATAAACAAAAATTTGAATTTATATTTATAAATTTTAAATAAATATTAAAAGTTTTATGAAAAATGGTTAAGTCTAATAAGATTAAATATGCTTTGTAAAAAATAACTAAATTTAACCCGAGATACTGAGTACTTTTACCATATAACATTCATAATAAGACATAAAATCTTTAATCTACATAAATGCATACAGTCAACTCCCTATCATTAAGATAATACCTGGGATGATACGTACAATCAACACAAAATCACAGTTAATCAAAGAGCATTAAAAAAATAATAATAATTAAAAAAATATATATGAAAAAAGGACAACTCATATTATGGTTAAGTAAGAAATAATATTGACAGGGTAAAATTAATTCAGAAGCTATGTGTGCCCAGTTAATCAAGAGCTGAGTCAATACTTAAGTTTCTGTTACACAAATAAAATTAAATTATGCATGGCTATTCTTATGTCCATATGTAGCTGCAAAAAGATTATCATATTTGCTTGAAAATTAGACCTCAAATATAAGAACTCCTGTAAATTTTAAAATAAATATTAAGAAATACAAGTGAAGATTTGATAAAAGCCACTGATTTCAATTCCAGCTGAAGAATGATTCAAGTTTTGCATTTGATAATCACACAAGTTCTACTTGCCCAGTTCATGAAAATAAACATGACATTGCAACAGTTCACAATTGTCAAATCCATGCATACATGAAAACAGATGTTAACACGAATAACATAATCTAAGTTAAATACACAAAAATTTATGATATATTTTTTATTCATTTTTTTTTTCAGGCATACCAACGACCAGTATAATTAGTGAATCCAGGCATAAACTGAAATCGCTCAACTGAACATAGCTATTATAATTACTGGTAGTTTTGCATTTTATATATACACAGCAATTACTTGTGCAGTTTATTTTGTGTTTGAACATACACAGCAATTACCTGTGTGGTTTTATTTTATTTAGTATTCTATATAATATGATAATTAAACTCCTTCGTTTCATTCTGCAATTTCATTTATAAAAATACCTGATTATACAACACTCAAAATTTTAGAACAATATGGGGGGAAGCTAAAATTTTAGCCCCCCCAAAAAAAGAAAGGGTATTATTTTTGAATGAATATGGTATTAATGCTGTGATTGGAACTGGAACTATTTTTTAAACAGAAAACTTCAATTATTAGGAAAAGAACTGTATTTATGAGCAGCTATTAAATATTTTTTCAAGGATATTGCACATATATTGAAAACTGTGATACATACAGAGTGATTCACTACCAGACTGACAAACTTGCAGGGTGTACACAGATGACTCGGAATCACATAGCAGAGAAAAAGAACAGAAAGAGCAACACATTAATGGGACAGAAAACATTTTATTGAAAAGGTATACTACAACAGGTGTTCGAAGGCCTGACAGCAGCGCTGCATGGAATTCCTTACATTCTGGAAGATTCCTCCCTGCAATCTTGCAGTAGATGGTGCTGATTGAAAGGTTGGGTGAACAACAATCCTGCTGGAAGTCGTCATTTACGATCCATTTCCTGAGGTAGTAGGAGGAATGCATATTCAAAAAATGAACTGGTTGACATGCTGATCATGTATAGAGCTGCGGATTGTAACGGGCACGCCTCTCGGCAGTTACCAGGAACTTTACCTGAACAGGTGGGCTCCACAGCATATGACCTTCGCAAGGGTTAACAAAAGGCTACATGAGATTGGTTGTTTAATGAGAGTTACAATGAATCAACAGCAAACGACGAGAACACCTGGCGATCAGGAGGTAGTCCTACGTTTGGCAGAAGACAATCCAAGTACAAGTACTCGAGGGATAGCCCAACAAGTGGGTTTATCTCAATCCATTGGCTGGAGGATAAGTTTTTATAAAAGTTATCAGAAATCTGAAGCAGCAAAAACTCAGTCATTTTGTATGATGCTTAGTTAGCTATACATCAATCTAATGGATGGGCCCACCTGCGGCTGAGTGACAAAATCACAGAGTACTGGTAGTTCAACTTGTCTTCAAATCACAGCAAACAGGCTGGCTGTATGAGAATTTTCAGGGTTTTCTCAATGTGTAACGTAAATAAAAGCTAGTCTCTCTTACTAAGTCCTCCACTAAGCCATCCCTCCTAGGCAGATAGCCTTTACTTTTCCCATAATCTAAATAATCCCATCCAGTCCATTTGCTTAATGAAATTAAATTAAAATCAACACAATAGATATTTATAATATTTCCTTCATAAAACTATGAAATTCACAATTTTCAAAATTAAATACCAACATCTAGTATATAATACTCTTTGTAAATATATACACATAAGATAAATTTGTGTCTTATTTTACTGTCAAGAATACAATGTTAAACAAGCACCTCAAAAGATGGTAAAGTTTTAATGGCTGACTTTGGATACTGAAAAAATTCAATTTTATTTTGGAATTTTCATCAACTTTTTATCTTAAAATTTCATGTATACTTACTATTTGATAGTACAGAGAAAGATGAAATTAATTTCATGCATTAAAGAGAAAATATCTACATACCTCTTTTTATTCCACTATAAGAGTTTATCCTGTTATCAACTAGTAATACAAGACCACTTAAATTGTTGGAATATAATGATATGGCAGTCTGAAGTCTTTGGGGTTGAGGAACAACAATTCCACTAGAAACAGAAATAATTTTAAGAATTTAAACGAAAATTTAAGTTTTTACCTCTTGCCAACCTATATACATAGATGAGGAAACCCAAAAATCTGATAGTGAGCTTTCAGTGAATAAGATGAATTAGGATCCACACAATACATTTTGACAATTATGTTTGTCTGTGTATATATTTTTTGATGATTATATCAAACTTCCAAATTTTTCTTTTTCCTATTTAAGCTTTCTGCATTCATATAAAAATTTGATTAGATTTTGAGTAAAATAGAACACCTGAAAGTGGTCCTTTAGCATAGCAGTTTTAAGGAACAACTGAAAGTCATACTTTACTTGAAGCCCATAGGAGTTTTGCAACAATCAATGTAAAATATTGTTGCAACTGAACAAGCATTATTTACTGATTTCAGGGATACAAGTGCAGATCAAAATGAATTTAGATTTGTTCCCACCACTATAGAAAAAACACAAAAAATTAAATTATGGTATTAGTTTTTCAAATTTACTCTTTACACTTAATATTTTTAAATTAAAAAACAGTTCAGTTATATGCTATTTAACTGCCCTAACTTCAATACAGCATTTTAATAAAAAAAAACTTAAAGGGTCAAACATTTGATTACCTTGGTATAAATCTAGAAAAACTAGTTTTTACTCATGACCAATTACACCTAATAAAACATAATCCAAAATTTCATATGACTAATCTTTCTGTTTATTGCAACAGTGTTCGAAACGATCAACTTCTTTACTGTTGCTATTTAAAACATGGAATCTGCAGAAGGTCATGTACTTGCCACGTGAGATTTTTTAAAATGCGCCTGATGTTCAGCACAGTAACAAAGTGAATGCTATGAAATAATTAATGATTATATGTTAATTTTGATGATTTTTTAAAAATTGAAACAGCAGAATTTTAAAATTTTGTCTGTGACATTAAAAATGACTCTATCAAATTAATCAATTAATTATTCACTAAAATTGTTGCACTCATCAATTGTGTGAAAAACCAAAAATTGTGGTGATTCTGAAATGGATATTAATAATGAATTGTTTCAATCAATGACAGCCCTATAACGTTAAAAGAAATATATCACTTTAAATGTCATTTGCAGTTTACTGCTGTTAGTTTCAAAAACTGCTTGATGCAAGATAGGGATAAGATTTCCCAAACAGATATTACTTCGCAATACATAAATTTTATTGCAATGCCATCTTTCTCCCACTTTTTTTTTTTTTTTTTGTTTGTTGTTTGTTGATTATGACATTTTTTTCCCGATTTCATACATTTCGTCCAAAGTCAGAAGAGCTGAGTGGCCACTTTTCTTTTTATGGTGAATGCCTCCAATTTCTTGAAATTAGATTATTAAGTAGAAAATCATCATCTTGTTAGGTTCACAAACACTGAGATCTATAAGGTTCTCTTTAAATACTTCAACAGCTTTTCTGCAAGATAAATTTATAAAGTAATGCTCAACTGTAAAAATTTTAGAATTTCCACAATTTTTGAAAGCTTTTTAAACCTTGTATTACTTACTTTAATTGAATAGAAATGAATTTTCAAGCATTGAATATTTTATTTCAGAAATATGAAGATAAAAAATGTAATATTAGTAACAAATACCTACAACTGGTATTTGATCGTTTTTTCATTATAATCACTAACTCTCCCTCTTGCTGTTTAATTTTTTAAAAATTATTCATTAATTTGCTTTTCATTGAAATTCTTGAATTTGTATTTCAAGGAATCTTACTTAAGACAGTAAATTGTGCTCTTCCTTTAAATTTTTGCTTTGAAGTAGCTGACTATTTTGTTCGATCTATTTCAAAAGAGTTCAAATTATATCAAAAGAGTTTTAATAAATGGTAATGTCTTTATTTTACTCTTTCTCCCAAACTGTACATCTGTCAGTTAGTCAATGGATAATGGAATATAGTGATCACTAAAACATTTTATGACCCATATAAACATGCATACTTACCCGACTTTGTTTAATTTATGTCGACAGAGATCGAGCACATCAGCAGACAGCAGTCTGAGATTATGCATCAGTTTAAGCTGAGATCCTGCAAAATGGATTTTGAAAATATTAATGAAAAAGAGTGATGTGAAAAATTACTTCAATTATACTTTACATCAAAATTTATTTTTCAAAAAGCAATTAGAAAAAGATTATGAAAATATCCTAACTTGAAAAATTGTATTGTGCATGGCAAGCATTTCTTGATTATTTACAGACTATTAATATCCAAATATAATAATAAAAGCAACAAATGCTATTGCTATATCTTGCTATCTTTCAAACAAAAAAATTTTATTTGGAAGATAGATACTAGAATGTAAAATTAGTTAAAAAAAAAAAAACACCCTCTTTGTATAGATTTTGAATAAAACTCTGTTTCGAGACTTATCTGCTAAAGGTCTCTCTTATTATTTTTTTTTTCCAAGAAGGGGGTGGGGAGAGAAAATTACAATTATGTGAAAAGAAGCAAAAAATTTATATGGAAAATATTAGTGCAGCAAAAAGAAAAACAAACAAACGATTCCATCTATTGAGGAAAACAGCAATGAAATATAAAAAAGCTAAGATATTAGAAATAAAGCTTTCAAAATTCTAAAACACTAAGCTTTTTTTCTATTTCATTACTGTTTTCTTTACAGATGATGTTATAATAATTTCCTCTTTGTTCTGCCTGTCAGTTTCCCTATAAATTTGTTGCTGCTTCTCCAATCTTTGTAGTTTTCCCCTTGCTCCTCAAGAAGAAGAACCTATATCAGTTGCTATTTGAATCAATGAAGTTTTATTCAATCTATGTCAGTCTAAAGCCACTCTGGAGCAATTTTAATCTAGAAGATTGAATAATAAATAATTCATTAAATAGAGTTCAAATGTCAGAAATCAGAAAATCAGAAGCATATTTCAAATATCTAATAATGTATTTTTTATGATATCACTATATAAAAAATATACTATTAAACTGGTGAAATATGTTTCTTTCAGCATATACATTTGTGCTATTCTCTTCTGCAGAAAACTCATTTGTGCTACAGTTCGCAAAAAGATTAGAATTAGACATGATGACAAAAATTTTTAGTCAAAAGTGGTCACCATGGTTAATCCACTATGGCATCCAAGAATAATTTTAAAGCAATTCTTCATATGAGTTTTAAACACTCTGTCATGAACAAACATCAGTGATTTGCACTCATTATTTATGAAAATATATTTAATAGAAAGAAATGGGTAATGACTACTGCATATGTGGGTATGATATTGCCATAATTAAAAATTTAATATAATACAAAACAGAAAAACTTTTGTAGAGATAAACATCAAATACTATGAGAAGTATTAACACTCAGGTAAACAAAGCACCTATAATTAAAAATTAGCCACAATGAAAACAAATTGGTACTCTTCTGATATCGGGACCAGATGCGTGTGTGAGTATAAACACATATACATTCAAAATAAAGTAATGTACATACATATAAACACATATACATTCAAAATAAAGTAATGTACATACATATAAACAGACATACATGCACATATATTTCTGAATCTGGTATCAATAACAGAAGAATACCCATAAATTTATCTCAAAGTATACTAATCCTCTAAGTGGTACAGCAATTTGGATCTGCTCCAGAAGATCTGTATTTAAACAAATTCTGTTAATTAATTTTTTTTAATTACTTATTTTAGTCTCTCTTTTCATAAATTTCCGTTCATTAAGATGATATTTACATCATTATACAAAATAAGAAAGGAAAATATTTTAAATTGTAATCTAATATGTACCAAGTGACAAAAAATCTTAAGTGGATAAAGGTGGCCAGGGGGTTAAATTACATCAAACATTAAGTGATTTTAAGTTTTAGATAAAATGAGTTGGTTAGATAAATAATGGTTAAAAAATATTAAAGCCAGAATAAAGTTCTTATTCTTGTAGTTACTTTTATTTGTAAATAAAATCCATCCTTTCACTGCTATTAACAAAAAAGGGAGAGACTGTTCCATCAAAATTTTACAACAGAAAAATATTACATTTTCTTCATATAAAATTAACAAGAAATGAATGCAGAAAAGGCAAAATTAATTGCTTCACTTCTAAAAGAAGTAGCTAGATCTAGCCACTTGCACATATGAATAGTAACATATACATCACATTCATCACTCCAAAGCTAAGAAAGCTAAAAGAAGGGGGAGGAATCTGCTTTTCTTTCATCTTAGTTATTTAACTTAAAAAGCAGTTTTCCCAAAAAGCATTTTTCAAATCATCTTGATATGATTCAAAAACACAGGGCTATTTTTCTCTGTCCCCCACCCTCCAATTCCATTTCAAAATATGTAATATGTGGTATTAGAAGCATCTTTTATTAATAATAATAATGCTGAAAATATTCATAATTATGAATTAGATACATAACATATTCTAATTTAAATTTACTTTAATTATAGCAATCAGATATATTATTAAAAAATAAAGATTTATATTATTAAAAAGTATACATTTATTACTTTGAAATCTCTTATTCAAAATTTATGATTTGAAAGACAAAGATTTCATATTTTGTGCAGTGGTGGCACTTGCCAGGTTATGTGAACAATAAATACTTTGAGTGCAGTAGACAGACTCTTGACTTTTAAGCATTGGTCAGGAATGACTGAAACCACTCCACTTTGATAAGGGAACATTTCGACTACTTTAAAGTTAGAAATTTTAGACATATAATAGAGTCTGTTGTAGTATCATAAAATAAATATGAATTCTAGTCAAGTCCTATCTAATAGCCAACAAATGAATAGCAGGAATGTATCAATTTAAATAAAATACAAATTAACACAATTTTCCTTCTCTCTCTAATAGCCAACAAATGAATAACAAGAATGTATTAATTTAAATAAAATACAAATTAACACAATTTTTCTTCATTCAGTGGAATTACAACTTATCATATGACAATTATATGAGAAAACATATATCTGGTACTGTTTACAATGCCTGTTCTCACAGGGGATGAACTCTAAGTGATTCTGTGTATGGATATTTCACATTACACTATAAAAACCATACAAAATGCATTAGATTGTCAATTTTAAATACCTCTCTTTCCATAATATTCATATTTGAATATGAAAATATAATTACTTTGAAAATAACATGTTTTTGTTTTTATTAAATAATTGGAAATTCTTATGCATTAATAATTGGCAATATTTAACATTTATTTAGGGAATTAGAAAAAGCTGAGCAGATTTCATTATCACTTTTTCAACAAATAACACATAATTATTTGCTTGAAGAGAGAAGACTATTTCTTAGTTCAAAATACTGAGTATCTGGACAATTCCTGTAAGTATTAAATAATGAAAGTTGCAAGGGCTATTCTCAAAACCCGATTTTTCGTACATTCACTTTGTCCACTGTCAATGCACTGTTTCACTTTTCGTTTGAATCCACTGCCGTTTGGCGAAATGTAAGATATTTATATTTCAAATTGAATCTGTCTGTTATGAATTAATAAACTAAACTATTTAAAATACTGTTCTTCTTTTATTTTTGAATTGGAATGATTGAAATAAAAATGCACTTAACTTAATAGTCAAAAACATTAGATATTTTTATAGAATTACATAGTATATGTTTAAAATATACAGAAGATATAAATGTCATTCTTAATGTATTCGTCTAGTGTACTATAAAATGTTTCACTCTTCCACCTGGGCTATCTCTATTGAAAATCTCTGCTGATAAACCACATTAAACATTAAAAAGCCCTTTTAGGTGACAATTAAAGTCTGAAGCCTTTCATTTTTTTCAATAATTTGGTTTCTATGTAATTTTGTATTATTATGAATTTGTTTTTATTTATTTAATTAGCAAATTTTATATATTTATTTAAAATATATTTGATTTAATTTTGAACTTGTGACCTGTTAGATTGTTTATAAGCATATATTTCGTGCATTATGCTGTAGATTTTTTAATTCTGAGTCATATGTGACATTTGCATCCCAAGGGTAGGTTGTGCAAAGTAAACAATTTAGACAGAAATTTCTCTACTGGGTTTTGCTGCAACATTTGTTTCAAAGTTGGCAATTTCTCGTCAATTTAACTCGAAGATATTCTGAAAGTTTTCAGAAGAGCTTAACCTCCCCTTTGAGCAACCCTATAAAAAGAAACTGGAAAGAGCTGTGAGATAGTTTGATTGATACTTGTGATCCATTTTATACTACCAAGATTTCTGCTCAATGATTATTACTTTGAGAGTGATTTTGCTGATTGATTCTTCAATTATTCCTCATGTGTTAAGAATTTTGCCTTATCTTTTTTTCTCCTTGAATTATTTATACTTGTTGCTTCTAAGAGCTTCTATTTTTCTCAATACAGTTTTAAGCTTCCTTGTTCATTTGCCCAAATCATTTAAGGTGATCTCTTTGAATCTGCAACACTGCAACATTCAGGATGCTCCAGTACTCTTATACTTAGCAAATGTTCACATATCTGATATGGATAAAGAGATTGCATTTAGAAGAATAATTGCATCTTCTAATGCAATAAATTTCATTCACATATATGAATTAAAATTGGTATTAATCATCTGTCATTAATTAATGAAAGACTTCAAAATGTGTATGCATTCTATAGTATGAGATCGAAAATAAGTTCTAACCTAAATGTATGGTAAAGCTTTCCTCCATTCTTTGTGGCTGGGGAGTCCAGTCACTGTCATTAGTTATAGGAACTGCTTCAGAAAGTGCTCGAACTCTTTGTCTGAAAAATATATGATATAAACACTTTTAAAAAATAGTTTTGATGCTTAATTACTTAACATTATTTTCCAAGAAATACTTCAACATAAAATATTCTTGAGCTATAAAAATTTTAATTAAAGAAATAAAATAAAGATGTAGATCTAGTCTTACTTTTGAGGGATTTTTTTGTTTGTTTGTTTGTTTAAATTTAGAGAAAGTTGAGTTAGGGCTTTTATATAATTTATTCTATTGACAACATTTCAGAGCATATACTTCATCTCTTTCTTTTTGAGCAAAACATTAATGACAAACTATATTTATTTAACTGAAAAAAATGTGGATTTGTTGTTTTGGCATGATCAATATGATATTGACAGGGGTTGATTCAGAGTCAAGTGTTAATGAAAATAAAAGATGAAGATTTGGAAATATAAACTTAAAAAATTGACAATTTATTTTAATCTATGCATTAAGCAATTACAAAACTTGCACATTCCAAATTGAGCTATAACATTTTTTTCAACAGAAAAACTGAAAACAGTGAATGCAATTCGGAAGAATTCATTAAATTATTATTTGATACTGAAGTTCAGAAACTTTTTAAAAATGTGAACGCAAGTTACTTATGAATAAACATAAAAGTTGTACAAAAATATCCCAAAATTTCTGAAGTGGTATTTCCATTTTTGCTTGCATTTCCAAGCTTGAATATGGTTGAAGCTGGTTTTAGCCATATTACTTTCATCTTAACAAAACAGTGAAATAAGTTAGATTATGGATGATTTATGGTTGAAACTAAATAATATTAAACCAAATATTGTTAAAATCTTGCCCAAAGTCTATCATCTTGATATACATAGACATATGTATCACAATGATATACACAGATATATATGTATATTAGATAAATGTACTCTAAAAATAATTAACATTGTAAAATACACAATCTAAATATCATATTAGTTTTTGTTTTGTCCAATCATAATTATGTAATAGAATGGGCTAATAAAAAGTTGTGAAATTTGGGGGGAAGGGTCACTCATACAGGAAGTTTGGGAATTTTTTATCTAGAACACTATCATCAAAAATTTTATATACATAATAAAAATATATGCAAAATAAATTCCACAAACTCACAGATATCCAGGAGAACCAGATCCACTTTGATAGTCTTCATGCACTTTAACGACCCATTCATGAAATTCTTTCTTCTGAGTTTCTTTCAATGTATTTATTTTGTGCTCCCAAAAATCTGTAATGCTCTAAAAGATTAAGGACTTTTTCAAATTAATCAAAAAAGAAAACATTACATGAATTAATGTTTTAACAGTACTCTGGAACAGAGAAATTCCAACATTACAAAAATTATAAACATCTCTATTTACAAACAAAACAGCCATCATAAATTAGAGTACTAATAAACACTAACTATATTACAAATTTATGTTCATAAAAATTAATAAATAATAATAAAAAAACTTAGCCATATCATAAAGATTATTAATCACACATCTAATTAATTCTTAGTTTTGATTTGTGATAATGAAATTTATATGTTCAGAACAAAATTCTTCCTTTCATTTATTCTAATTTATTATTCATCATGAAATAATTCTTTTTTTAAATCCGATACCAATATAATTCATAAAATATTTACAGCATACGAATATTTTGTTCTTCCTTTCAGGTACAGACTTTTTGCAATTTTTTTCACTATTTATAATTAAACTACACATTGAAGAATTAGATAATCAAGCAAAACAATTTTGCGCAATTTAAAGTAAACAAAAAATAGTTCACTGTAAAAATCAGCACAAAGATGAAAGTATTAAGGACTACAGTTACACTGGAACTAATCCAGCAATGTCGAAGCATTGTTGTTTATTATGAAAATCACAGAAGAAATTGTAGCATTTCACATGCAAATGGGAATATTTGGTTGAAAGAGAAATAAGGCTTGCACAGGTTTTCTCAGGCCTCTGATAGTTAATGATATAGCTTCCACTCTGTTTCTGTTGGAATTACGGAAAAATTTACACCAAGCCCTACCTCTTTTCGTTCAGCCTACTATCCTAAGTTGCATGTACAACACTTAATATGATTGTGGTTAATATTGTTATCAAATCGCCAAAGCCCTGCTTGTTTGTACAGAAAAATGAGGAAAATTATTCACTTATTGTTATCAATACTTAATATGATCAAAATGTTACAGAATATTTTTTAATGAAATTTAATTAAAAATTTTCCTAAAATAAGGATAAAATAGATATAGAAATTGCCAAGTAATAAAGAAATGTCTCTAAGTAAGGGATTAAGTTGCCAAATAGCTTGGTTTTGATTTTAAATCAACCATTTTTAATTATACGAAAAAAGCAACCCTAATTTAGTATATATTTTTAAAAACTCAATTTATAGGTATTTTACCCAAATATACTGTAAATGAATTCGTTAAATTTGTCGTAAAAAACGGGAAAAAAAAAAAAAAAAAACTGAATTTTGAAAATTTAAAAGTCCCACTTCAAATAACTGTAAATAAAAAAATAATTAAATTATTGATTTTGAAGGGCTAGATACAGGTCCCTCTACTTCAGGAGCCAAAAAAAAAAAAAAAAAAAGTCTGTAGAATTTTTTTTCCCTTGAAAACATCTATGCCAAACTTAGGCTGCTTTTTTGCATAATTAACATGTTCTTTTTCGACAAGGCATGCCTTACTAATATTAACATAAGGAGTACAGCATCAGTCAAATAATTTCCAGAAACATTACAAACAGTACAAATTGAAATTACCCATTAAAGACATTGTGAACAGTTTATAAACATTTTCTTAATTAAAATGCTGTGAACATACCTACTTATATATTTCTGGTTACATTTATATTAAATTAAGTAAATTCCACTTTTATTTTCTATGGCTTTTTTTTTTTTTTTTTTTTTTTTTTTTTTTTTTTTTTTTGCGTCTTCATTTAATGTTATCAAAGTAATCATGGTACTGTAAAAGATTACAGTTTTTGTGTTTATCATAAAAATACTTTGACATTGTTACACAAGTTCTAACAAAATTTCAGTCTGCAATATTTTCATCTTTATTTGTGCTGGCTTTTAGATTGAACTACTTTTTGTCTACATTAAAAACATTATACAGAGTTCCAGTGATTATATGGATAATTAAGAAATCAGGGCACTAACAGAAATAATGACAGGGAAAAATTATCAATCAAGCTATTTATAAAACACAAGAGAATGAATTACTTGAGTTTCTGTAAAGTGCCGAGTAGCCATGTCATTTATATCTTTATCTGTCAAAGATATCCCAACTTTTGGAACAGCTCTCTCCATTTCATCAGACTGTCTGAAAAACGGGGGGGGAAAAAAAAAAAAAAAAAAAAGCCAAATTAAAGAGAGGAGGGGAAACTAAAAATCTGATTATTTATAATTTTATATTATATATAATGTATCATATTTTATATAATATTTATATTAAATCAAAAAATCAAAAAAATAATAAAATTCCATATTAAAAATGTTAAAGTAGTTCCAACCTAATTTATCCGGGTTATATTATAAACTGGTAAAATGCAAATTAAAGAAAATTACAAAATTGGAATCAAATAATGTTCACATTCAAGGAGTAAAATCATATAAAATACAGGAAATGTGTACATAACAAAACTAAAAATAAAAGTTTTAATCTCTTTTGTTTAACGCTTCAAACAGAACTTATCAAGTGAAAAGTGTTTTGAAGCCAAGTCAATTAATGAGCATCGAAAATGTGTTTCGTTCCTCTGAATTCTTTGAGACAACCACTTTTTATTAATCCAACTTTCATATCAAACAAAATTTATTTTAAAAGTCTAAAAAAATTCAGGCCTTTTCTTTACATGCCTTCACACTCATATAGTACAAACATTTATATACAGTTGCAAAATAATTAAAATATTTGAAGAAACCTAAAAGGGCTAAAGAGTAACTAAATTTAAGTAATAACTGTGGTTATAATTCAATTTGCATTCTACCAGTTTATAATGCAACCCGGAGAAATTAGGTTAGACCTTTTTTTATTTTTTTATTTTGAATCTTACAGCACATTGTGCAGATTTGTATCATGGTTTTTTAACCATGATTTGTATCATAGTTTTAAACTCTAAAAAGAGTATATTCATATTATATATAATGTGTTAAATTTTTTATAATATATAATGAAAAAATTTTATATTATGCCAAAAGGGTGTTTTTGTAACATTTTGTCTATTACTTTTATTCATTAAATATCATGTTCTTCACACTTCAACCATGTAAAAATTCAACAGCAATATTATCAAATATTTAAAAATAGCCTATCTTTAGAATTTCCAACAGACAGTCGATTTTTTTCAGATTTCGAGAAACATTCACGCAGATTTTTCATTATTTAGTTACTTTAAATAGAATACATGGCAACAGTATTTGGTGGCAACAGTTCGGAAAGTGAACCAATGCAAAATGCCATTTTGAAACTAAACCCTTTGGGTCTCATGCCTCTTGGTGCTAAAAATAAAGAAAATTAATGTTTTACTTAAAACTGTAGAATTATAATAAAATTAAATTATCATTCACATATCATGATAAATTAATTACAGCTTTTGCACTACATCTTTATGTAAAAGATAGAAACCAAACCAAATTGGTCTAGTAAAGTAACCTTTTAAGAATCAGTTCAGATGGCAATCATTATATTAATGTTATTTTACTACATGAAGCTTGCTGCCAAAATGGAATGCAGGAGTCATACAATGACTAGTACAATACTAAAGTTTAAACTCATGCATTTAGATAAAAACCTTTCTGAGCAAAAAATTACGTAAAAGTTTTAAAACATTTCTATTTATTGTATCATATTACCATATACACTCATGTAATGTCCACACCCTAACTTTACAGATAAAGTTCATGTAAAAAAAAGTGACCCACACAATGTCCACACCCCAAAAACTAAAGAAATTCTTACTTTAAAATATATTTTTTTAACATTGCCTTTTCCCCTTTAGTCAATAAACATCATTAAAGAAAGAATATGCATTTGTTTTGTCTTTGGTTGGTGCTAGGATGGAAAGCAGAGACTTTCCTTGCATTCTGGGGCAGCTGTTATTCAGTTATAACATCGGTGTCAGCAATCCACTCAGCGGACACAATAATAAATGAAGGCAGAACAAACAGGTTTTCACCACACTTGGCTTCCAGGAAATACTGTTTTGTAATGAAATTACTTTCACCACCTTCCTCCCTGAAGCATTTGCATATTTCAAGTTTTCTCTTTTCATTCATAGTATCATTTGAAATTCATGGTAGTTAGCAAGGAGCGTGCTTGAAATGGGAAAATACAACAGCTTTTAAACTGAAAGTCGTAGAATTTGCACAGGAAAATGTAAAAAGAGCAGCAGCAAGAGTATATAAGGTGGACAAAAAGTGTGTGCACAATTGAAGCAAACAGCATGATCAACTGGCGGCAACAAACGAAGCAAGACATGCGTTTTGTGGTTCGAAATGTAAGTTTCCGAACTTAGAAAAAAAATTACAGTCAAAAGTCTTTAATCCGGATGTCCATAATCCGAAATGATCTATAATCTGGACCTCAAAGCTACAAAATTTCAACGCATAATGCATTGACGCATGCACGTTTAATGTATAATGAACAGTATAAGCTAAGTTAAAATTATCTAATTATCTATTTCAGTTAATGCTGCAGATTGCGTTGTTTTTTAATCTTCTAATTGGATCCGGCTTATTTTTTGCAGACTGTTAGAGCAATTTTTTATAAAAGTAAGCTTGAACTTTCGATTATGTCAAAAAGAATTTCCGATTCTGGAGCTGCCAAAGGATCTACAAAGCGAAAGCATGTTACGATGTCCATCAAACAAAAATTGGAATTGCTGCAAGAAATGGATAAAGGCATACCTTTGTTTCTCTAACCATTCTGAAATCTGTTTATCAATTTCATGCTGCTCTGCGGGGAAGGGGGGGACGTCGCAGTGCACTATGAACTGGAAATTGATCTGTCAGCACTATCCGTATCTTCAGGGCAGTTGTTTTTATTTTATTCAGTTTATAATTCCTTACTAAATGTAGTATTTCATCTCGATGTACTCCATCTTTGATATGATTCAAATCAAATTCCTCGTCATTATAAATATCACGAATAGACATAAAATAGTTTTCTGGTTGCAATATTCTAATTTAGATTATGCGTAATGTATGCTTTATGCATGCATGTGTTGAAAGAAATGTTTAATAAACAAAACAAATAAATATTAAGCTTTTTTTTTTTTGTAAATTTTGATACCCTTTAGATCATAATTGCTCTTTATTTCATAAATTACGGTTTCATATTTTTAATTTTATAATTTCTGCATGCCATCTTATCAGATTTAAATTGATGATCTATAATCTGGAAAAACCGATAATCTCAAATCGCTGAAAGCCCGACGAGTCTGGATTAAAAGCTTTTGACTGTAGTTGTGTATGTTCATGATATGCATGCTCAAGGGTATGCAGTAACACAGGAAATGTGCCAAATAAGAACGCTTGCTGCAGCACAATTCCTACATTCCTACATTGCAATGCAAGACGATTGAAGACTGGGTGCGGCAAATGATGAAGGTGGATGAAAAGTGTGTGCACAATTGAAGCAAACAGCATGATCAACTGGCGGCAACGAAAGAAGCAATATGTGCATTTTGTGGTTCGAAATGTAAGTTTCCGAACTTAGAAAAAAAAAGTTGTGTATGTTCATGATATGCGTGCTCAAGGGCACGCAGTAACACGGGAAATGTGCCAAATAAGAACGCTTATTGCAGCACAAGAAGAACACATTCCTACATTGCAATGCAAGGCGATTGAAGACTGGGTGCGGCGAATGATGAAACGAAATGGATTTTTATACAGTGCATCAGAACAGATTTTCTTCTTAAAATAACCTGTGCAAGATATTAAAAAATCAAAGTTTATTTAATTTGTGTAAAAGTAAATATTAAAATTACAATGTTGGTTAATTTGTGGCTCCATACTGTTCTCCTGTGTGAAATAATATGCTCCGAGTGTTGATAACGGAAACGGGGTAATTTATATCATATATGTGGATGGGAGGAAGTGAGTTTGAAAATTTTAGGTACTTATTAGACAACTTTAAATTTGATACTTTTATTACTTATACCATTTTCTTCCACTTAGAACTTAACTTGGCTGTTTGAAATGAAATTTACACCCAAAATTACTCAAGAGAAAAAGCGAGACATTTGAACAACCCGTGTAATAGTTCGCACCTTCATTTTGGTGATGTAATTTTAGTAAAAAAAGTATGGATATTACGTGAGCGTATACGGTATGAAAGCACTGCATTGAATAGAAAGATATTAATACACATTAAAACTTAATTCACTAGGTATAAATTACAATTAAGTAAACGAAAGGTGATTCATAATTTCTTCTCAGTTTCAAATGTTACAATGTATTAACTACAACAAATACAGCAAAAAGCACATGTCAGTATATAAATATTTGTATACTGTATTTACTCATGTATGCCCCTTTTTTTTACTACTCCAATATCTGATGATAATTAAACCGCACAATTATTTTGTAAAATTCCAGAGGACCTCACATGAACGAATCTTGACCACAGTTCCCAAGAAGGACATTGAAAAAGAAAGCAGAGGCAAACAAAAGAACTGAATTTCAAAGGATTGAACACATCAACAGCAGATAAAGTTACAATGAGCTGGAACATAAATAACAGGAGTAAGGTGAAATGACACATTTCGAAAGTTTCTTAAGTGTGAGAACTCTTTCTATGTCCTTTAATGAAGAATCTGCACAAAATACATTTTAAATAATAAATGCAAGGAAAAATAAAATGGATAAAATGATAATACAAAAATGCAAGTAGAAATTTAATGCACTAAAGAAAAATAAAAATAATAAAGGGAAAAAATTTACTAAAAAACTAGCCTTCAGATGGGAAAACTATGTGCAACAGACAAAGGAGAAAATTATGCAAATATTTCTTTAACTTTCAGAATTTAGTACTAAAAAGCTAAGTGGGGAAAATATGGTATTCTTTACAGGTACTAATTATGCACATTCCTGTTGACATAGCCCATACTAAACCTAAATTCAAGTTCTTGCTACACTAATACATCAAGATCTGTATCACGAATTCCATGCACAATCCTTTCTCACTGTTGCACTAAATCCTGTGGCAAAGGAGACTCGAAACATGATCCCATAAAAAAAATCACATGGGTTTATGCCAGGCAAGAATAGATGCGATAGAAGAGAAGAGTATTATCTCAAGAAGCACATCCAATCTAACAGACATGAAGCTCAGCATTGAGCTAAGCCTTCGAGAAAATGTAGTAAACTCATCTTGTCACAAGATTAATGCCTTGTTGGAGTAATCATTATTTAGCCACTATTGCATATTTAGATGTAAAAGATTTATAGCAGTTTATTCCCCAAAGAAAAATGGCCCATACTATGTGTACAAATGTACTAATTTGCACAGATTCTTTATAAATCAGCATCCATTTCTTTGCTGTATTTGCTACAATTATTGCACCATACACTTTCAAAACACCAAACAGAATTATATAATAAACTCTACATGTTCTCCAAAATGAATACAAAATGAAAATGGTAGCAATAATAAACACATCTTCAGAAGAATCTGCATCATCATCTAAAATACATATGTTCAAATGTTGAATACGCATCTCCTCTAATTAATAAAAATTCAGCATTGTTAATGCATATCTTAAAACAGATGATAAGAATAGAGATAAATATTTGCTATTAAAATTATAATACAATAAATAGATATACTCATGATATTCTGGAAAGTTTAAAAAACAGCAAGAGCTCTAAAAAATTATGGAATATAATTTAAGAAGAAGGGAGAGAGGAAAAAAGTAAATCTGCTGATGCCAGTAGCTTTATTTTCTTTCTCATTACTTTCTTCGTTTCACTGTTATCACTTGAGCATAGGCTTCTCTTTCATCATTTGCACTCCCTTTAAGCTAAAGAAGAAAGGGTACAACTCTGATATACGCCATGATTTCACCAAATGTGGCGATATGTGTTCTGCGCTGGTTTTTGGCACTATAGCGTGTTGTATGGCAACCCTGTTGACGCTGAAAAATCTTTCGCTGGAGCTCATTGGTTCACGTCATGCTCTGCATCTGAGAAGATGGTGAAAAGATAAAATGGTGAATGTTGTTGAATTGAAGTTCGGCAAAAGGAAATATCATCGTGGCCGTCCTGTTAAGGGGCAGTGGGTATTTGGAGGTGTCGAAAGAAGGTCTGGGAGATTATTTTTAGTGGCTGTGTATGATAGAAGTAGGGATTTGTGATTATTTGTGATTTTTATTTATTTGTGAATCATCGTCTGAATTTTTCTGGATAGTGTGTCTGGCTGTCATATAAATACGATAGTTATTACATGGCAGCATGTTAAAGGCGGTGTGAAATTGGTATTTCTGCTGTTCGAAAAAGCATTAATTCATGGTAAGTGCATTTTATTTTATTCTTGTTCATATTTTGTAAAATGTTATGTTCATTGTTTTTTAGTATGAATTTCTGTTGTTATTGTTGTTTTTCGAATTGTTTGAAATTTATTTTAGTTTATTTTATTGATTAGTGCATAGCGTCTAGATTGTGCAATTCGTAGATGCTTTTTTAAGTTGAAACAGAACGCTGTGTGCATGGTATTCTTTGAAATTTATTGTTGTTATGTTAATTTATTAAAGTGAGGTGTGCGTAGTTTGTAGATTCGTTCGTCGTCTAGATTGTGCCATTCGTAGATTTTTTTTTTAAGTTAAAACATATCGCTGTGTACATGGATTTTTTGTCAAATATTTTTGGTTAGAAACTTTACATTTTTGTTATCTAATTTTTTTTTTTTTTGTTTTTGTTTCAGATTTTTAACTTAAATTGTGTGTTCAAAATGTGTTTTTTTTTTTTTTGCATGTGTGAAAACCGTGTTTTTGGTGACATTTTAGGCTTAAAGTTCAAAATGTAGACAAAAAATTTAGATAGTAATATGGCAGCATGGAGTTTCTCGCCAAATATGTTTGGCGAGAAATTTGGCGACTTGAGGGCGCATATCAGAGTAGTTCCAAAGAAAGCTCTATTAAACCATCAGAACTAGCCCTGCAATTTAATGACTATTATGCTGATTCATTGCTTTTATTGTCTCCAGTTACAAGCTTAAGTATAAACATTCAACATTTCAGTCTGAATAAAATTTGAATTTTCCTTTATGAAAACTAAAATTCATTCAGCAAGAAAACTTACCGTTGTTGAAGTTCATGTAATGCCTTATCTTTAGCTTGAACAAGCTCACCAACAGCTAGAGCATAGGAATGTTCCAAATTGAGCATAGTTTCAAGTGCAGGAGAGTGAATGAGTTTATGATACATTTCTGGAAATGAAGAGCTTTCAGATGGCTCCTCCAATTCAGCATACCTCATGTGTTCCTTAGTATAAAAAAACAAGCATTTAGTATCTTTAAATGCAGACAATATTAAATTTATTATATAAGAATTCCCACTGCTACAAAGAATTCAAAGAAAAAACATTTTATTCCCCAATCTTCATTTCAAATACAGTACAAAGTCCAAGATCGGGATCTTTCCAGACCTTAATGACACCAACCTTTTAAATCCAGCACCAACAAAAAAAAATTTGGGAATTCTTTTTTTATGCTTTGCACACTTGATTTTTTTCCCCGTAAGAAAACATGTGGAAAATCTTGATTCTTAAATTCACTTCGGCACTAAATAAAATACCTCGTTATTGAAGAAACAATCATTTTTGCATAATTTTGTATGATCAATAATTTGGCTCCGTAGCTGCATATCTGCTTGGCATACATCTCAAACCGAAACATTCTACATGGAAACATCATTAATTTTACAACTACTAATATTTTATATCCCTGATGCCCAACCTGGCAAATCATTATTTATTATATTTGGCTTTCATCACCGTATGTTTATTAACACATGACAACTTGAATAATGACTCCTGCAGCAATGCCTGAACAACTTTTTTTTTATATATATTAGTAATTGAATAACAAAGAGTATGGAAACCTTTTATGTTGACATTACACTTGGCACTGATTAGGGATTTGAGTTAAATAAGCCAATTGTTGACAAGGAAAAATTTAAACATTCCTTTCCATATGCTAAAAATGATTTTGTTAAAGATACTCATAGACCAAAAGATTACATTTAGTGCTATTTGAATTGAGAATAACTGATTTTTTAGTCACATAAACCTAGAACCGGCAGCAGAGCTTGTTTGGCTGCACCAGGTGGCAGAATTTAGGGAAGATAAAATTTTTGGAATTTAGAGAAGCACCGAATAACAAAATTAAGGTATGATAATTTTTTTTTTTTAAATTTAGGGAAATCATTGGGATCCAAAATTAAGGGGCAGCAAAAATTAAAAATTTAGAACTTAAGCGCTTGGTAGCAGAATTTAGGCCACACAGAGACTGCACCAGGCAGCAAAATATCTAGCGCCAGCCCTCAGTAAGCTTAAGTATATGTGGGAATTTACTTATTCAGAACTCGGATAAGCCTTAAGCATGCGCAAGAATTAGACGTAAGTTTAATAAATAACTAAAGCCCTCAGTAAGCTTAAGAATATGTGGGAATTTACTTATTCAGAATTCGGATAAGCCTTAAGCATGCGCAAGAATTAGACGTAAGTATAATAAATAACTAAATTAATACAATTAAGGCTTAATTGTCTCAGTGCACAATAGAAGCAAGACAAAATTTATCAGAACATTACAGATTTAAGCCAACAATGTATAGCAGGCACTGTTAAGCTCGGCTACAATTATACTTTACTGATTCCAAAGAATTTCAGGTAATATAGCAGATTTCACCGTTCCTTAACTTTCTGACTTGATCCAGCATATTATTTTTGGCAGGCTATTATAATTACAACAATTTTATGAGATTATTATAATTACAACAATTTATTTAATTATAATTTTATTAGAGTTTGAACTTTAAATTATGTCAAAAAGTATTTCTAATTATGGAGCTCCAACAGGATCTACAAAGCGAAAGCATGTTTCAATGTCCATTAAACAAAAAGTCGAATTGCTGCAAAAAACTTAATATAGGTATATAATCTCAAAATTATGCGAGGAGTATGGCATTGGAAAGTCAACTGCATATGACATAATAGACAAACTGTTATAAAATTAACGAAACAGAGTGATGGCTACATGAATTTCGGATTTACTAATTTCAGCTAAATGAATACTTTTTGCTTATTAAAGTAAAGAAACTTTATGTATGTCTTATTGTTTGTATAAAAACTTTAGAATGACCGAAATAACAGTGATGCCAGATGCATAAAACATAATAATACAACAAAACAATGATGCCACTAAAACTGCACATAACATCAATTAAATGCTCAATTCTCAACAGACTCCTTCGAGCATGAAAATAGTCATTGTTCATATAGATTAACCTTTACTTATTGACTGTTTTTATACCAATCAACCAACTTCTGAAAATGAAAATGTGCTGGAAGTGCCTTCATCAGAATGTCTGCTCGTTGTTCACCACTTCTCACATAGCCTAATTGAAAATGTCCCATCGAGAACTCGTTTTGCACAAACTTGTACCTTTGGTCAATGTGCTTTGTGTGTGCTTGGAACACTAGATTTTTGATGATTTTTAATAAAGTCGTTAATCCGGACTCGTCGGGACTTTGGTGATTCCGGATTATAGATCATCAGTTTAAATCTGGTAAGATGATATGCAGAAATTATAAAATTAAAAATATGAAACCGTAATTTATGAAATAAAGAACAATTATGATCTAAAGGATATCAAAATTTACAAAACAAAAAAAAAAAAAAAAAAAAAAAAGCTTAATATTTAATTGTTTACTTTATTAAACATTTCTTTCAATGTAAGTTGTTTAAGTTGCTTCATTTTATGTGATAATACTTTCTCTTTAATTCTATAAACGGACATAATTTCTTCTTCAGTTACAAAGTTCTGCTGTTCAAGTCCTATAATTGCTGTGTCGAGAATACCGACTAATTTGTCAATCAAAAGTTTTTCGTTTCGAATAACCTCTGTGCCACTTTCTTCACTATCGGATGCGAATTATAATGACGAGGAATTTGATTTAAATCATATCAAAGACGGAGTGCATCGAGATAAAATTCTACATTTAGTAAGGAATTATGAGCCAAATAAAATAAAAACATCTGCCTTTAAGATAAGGATAGTGCTGACAGATCAACTTCCAGTTCATTGCGCGCCGTGGCGTTTCCCCCCTCCCCCCGCCGCAGAGCAGCGTGAAATTGATAAACAGGTTTCAGAATGGTTAGAGAAATGAAGGATATGCTTTTATCCATTTTTTGCAGCTATTCCACTTTTTGTTTAATGGACTTCGAAACATACTTTCGCATTGTAGATCCTTTACATATTGATATTAGTAAATATATATCGAAAATTCTATTTGACATAATCGAAAGTTCAAGCTTACTTTTATAAAATTGCTCTAACAGTCTGCAAAAAATAATAAGCCGGATCCAATTCGAAGATTAAGGAACAACTCAATCTGCAACATTAACTGAATTAGATAATTTTAGCTAAGCTTATACCGTTCGTTATACATTAAACGTGCATGCGTGAACGTATTATGCGCATGCGCACATGCACATTCGCAGCCGTAAAGGTTTTATGCGCATGCGTCAACGCGATGCATGCGCAGAAAGTTTGTAGCTTTGAGGTCCAGATTATGGGTGCCCGAATTAACGACTTTTGACTGTACTTGATAATACTCTGATTATCAATTTGTAGCATAGGCTTACATTATTAGCTGTCTTACTGAACAAGCCCTTCAACCATATCAGGTCTTTCATTGCATCAGCTGCTGCCATGAACTCTGCCTCTGTCATAGAATTGGATATGGCTTCCTGTAGCTTGCTTCGCCACATAATTGCACCTCCACCATAGAAAGAAATAACAGTTCATGACCTGCGTGTTTCTGCACATCTGTTGTTATTTGCATTACTAAACAACATCCAACTCATAGACTCCAACCTGCAGCTGAACTTGTCAGTAGTCAACGTGCGAACGACCTGTTTACAACTTTGAAAATGTGCACGATTAACCATCCATTAATTTTTCTATCCATTAATCCATCCACCCATTAATCAATTTTGTTACATTTAAAATCCATATATGTATAAAACTGAATAATTAAAAATATGCCTTGTAAATTATATGCATATTTAATTAGAAATTTTCATTTAACTCAAACATGTATAGCACTAAATCTGCTATTATATGAAAAAGCAAGTATTTTAAATCACTACTAATCATAGAAAAAATTAGAATCCATAAATCATATAGCTTTATTCTGAATTTGATTTCCGCAGGGAAATAAAATTTAAATAACCAAGAGTAAAACATAGAAGTATTAAAAAAATACTTATAATTTAAGAATGCAGATTTATATGCATCATGCTTAGCAAGCTTAAGTTCTGATTTTGAGAATGTTTTTTATAATACAGTTCTTCATTTGCCTGCATACTTATTTTTTCAATCAAAACTGCTTCAAGAGTTTAAGGACCTAAATTCCGTCGGATTTTTTTTTTAACAATAGAAAATTTTTTTCGCAAGTTACATTTGAATGAGGTATTATTAAGACAGCAAACATTACATTAGGCAATACTTTGTATTTAATACACCCATTCATATTTTTTAATTAGGCAATTTCTCCCCATGCTATATCAATACGTAAATCTACAATTTCTTTCAAATCATCTACTTGAGACAGGGAAAATTCAATTTCTACTTGATTAAGATATTTTTTTATCAATAATGGATGAAAATAATAATGATTTTCATCAATAATGAATTTTTCATCAATAATGGATGAAAAAGTATTCATCATGTAAAGAACAGATGAAAATGAAACTTCAGTCCTCAAGTTAAAGTCAGCAACTTCAGCATTTCTATGGATCACTTAGTGAAAATTTATTTATTATATATGAACATGCAGTTACAAAAAAAGCTTGCACAGAATTGAAAAATGATATCACTTCACTTTCATTCAACTTGGCATTTTTTAAATATAGTCTTGTTTCCGCACTAATCACTAAATTTTTGTTTTCTTTTTGTTTACTACACTTCTGAAATGAAAGAAATGCTAGAGTAAAATCTTCTTTAGAAATTACTGATGGTTTTACAAATCTAACAAATAAATTCATTAAAAGTTCAACAAGTTCTCTTCTCAATTTATGTATGTAAGGAGCTTGTTGTTGCAAATTAATATTTACTGTTATAAACAAAGGCAAAGTATTTTTCAAAAATAATAAGTATAATTTAGTAGTAGGTGATTGTAACATTTTTTAAATGTTTTGCAATCTCTTTCCTTCATTCTCACTGTTATCTGGTTGATCTCCAAAAAAGATTATCAGAGT